TCGTACAAAAAAATTAAGATATTTTTGATGAAATCCAAGAACTTTCTGAACCAGCCAGCAGCAACGTCATTGCCACTAGTTTCAAGGCCCAGAAAGGTAGAAAAGACATTGTTAAAATAGTCCATGTGACTACAGAACAGACTACAGATTACAACCTTAATTTTATGATTAAGGTTAAGATTAAGATTAAGGCCAATACTGAGCCGGCATTCTGACGGAGAACCCGGAAGTGCAGCACTGCGTTTACAACGTGAACAGCGTTAGAGACCGACATGGAAGAAAGGAAATAGTTGAATAAAGTCATTATTTTAGCTTTTCTTTTTCACACAAAAAGTATTCTCATTGCTTCATAAACTTAAGGTTTAACCCAATGTAGTCACATGGACTATTATAAAAATAGCCATTTCTCAATACCAAGTTCGAGAAGTTCTTGCGTCCTTGGTAGTTCGGACTGGCCAAGTACGACTCAAGAGAACAAACTACCGAGGACGAGAGGACGCAAGTCTGGTTATTCTGCAAATGGAACAGAGCGCACTTGATCGCGTCACTCAGCACGCTCTAGCTACTCTGGTTATCTCTTTAATATATATTTTAGGCAACAATAAAACGAAATATGCTAAAACTATGCTTCTTTTCGTCAACAAATAAAACGAAATGTTATAAAACACCACTCTGCCTCTTTTCATTTAAAAAAAAAATCTTGTGGCCATGTGGTTCAGGCAACGTGTACATTGATTATCTTCACTGCGTATATTAATAACAAAATGAACATGATCTTTTTGTTTTCATTTTAAAAATATGAAACATTATTGATTTTTATTGACATACAAACAGAGACAGCTGTGATTTTATTTTATTGTTCATATAGTGAAGATAATGTAAAAAATTAAATAAATATAAGTACATAAAATAAAATGACAAGTCTCTTTCTGTTAAATGTTTAATGATCAATAATATCAAGCCTAAAAGGTATAGAAGCTACAATGAGAAATAAGGCAAACAACTCAAACATAAGCTCTCTAATAGGCTACAAAGTTAAATAGCCAAAATATATAAAGATATGAAACTTCACTTGCCCTCAGCCAAAACGATTTTTTGCCATGGAACACACTATAGTTTAATGAGACCAAAGATAGAATTATACACAAGACGAATTATATGTCAAGTTTATCCACTAGACGAGACATCAGAGCCAGCGGCAAACCTCAGAAGCACTAGCCGAGGAAAAGCTGTTCCAGTCGGGGTTGATGAGCACTGGGTGCCGATGAAGGCTTGGATGTCACAACTCCGAAAAAGTCAGATACATTTTTTTAAAGAGGCGCTATATTTATAAATAAACTACAGATTTGAGATTTAAACAGCCACATTCTCGCCTAAAACACTCTTAAAAAATTACATTTCATGACACAATAACAGTAGTATTTTGATATGACGCAGATTTTCTCTTCTGCTATTGACACTTGCTTGTTGGTGCAAGATGCTTTCTAGGATACCTGGCTATCTCAATTCCACACAAGTCACCACTCGATGGGATGGGCAACGATTAATCGCATCCAAAATAAAAGTTTGTGTTTGTTTACATAATATATGTTTGTGTAGTGTGTATAATTAATTTGTATATATAAATACCCACACATGCATGTATATATTTATGAAATATGTGCATGCATATATTTTATATATATTTATTCACAATTAATATTATAATTAATATTATATTAATTATCTGGACACCACCATGCTTACCCGATCTTTAGCCATTTAAGAGCCAAATTGTTTGCCAGATTTTAATTATCAAAAGTGATTGCCAATTTAAACGCTTTAATGACATTACAAAATAGCCAAGGCTAATTACCACCATACCGGTAGATCTGACACCAAATAAATTCAACTTTATAAATAAGCCTGTATCCATTGCGAACATATTTTATTATTAGTCTTAAAATGTCCATAACATAAAATCATTGTTGAGCCACAACATTGTCAACATACCATAGTTTGACTTGTACTGTGCTGCGCTAATTTTTAAAGACAGTGGCGGCGACTATGGCAGCGACTAGCATCTTGAGCTCAAACAACGCTGAGAGAGCTAACTACGAGAGAGTTGGACCAAAGCAACCTTATGAAAGTGTGAATTACAGAAGATATACTTACTTAGTGTACGAATGACACGGGAATCGTGCCATAAAGTTAAGAGAGAGGTTAAGGAGAACTACTTAGCGATAAGAACGTTTTGGGGAACCGGGCCCTGGGCCTTAATAGACTACGGAATGGATCTATGGAAGGGTCGAAAAGTCAAAGAATTATCTTAATTTTGTGTCCCAAAGATGAACGAAGGTCTTACAGGTTTGGAATGACATGAAGGCGATTAATTAATGACAGAATTTTCATTTTTGGGTGAACTATCACTTCAACTTTACATAGGGTTTCCCACAGAACAAAAAGAGTGGAAAGAGGAATGCTTTCTGAGGAATTCTGATGTTAGATTTCAGATGCATCCAGCAAAAGCCTGTCAGAATTACCTCTAGGAAAAAAAATGTGGGTGCTAATATACAATAATGATTAATGGCTTAATGGTAAACAAAACCTCCTGTCCGCCTGCATTAACAACGTGCCAGCGTGTCAGAATAATCTCAAAAGGGTTTGGAGCATTTCCCACCCACACACAGAAAACAAACACACAGGCTTTGGACAAAAGCACAATGTTACACAAAATGCATATTTACAAGGCGGTGAGGAAAAAAAAAAATGCATCAGAGAACAGAGGCCAAATAGTTATTTACTTGAAACAAAATGTCAAAAACCATTACACCTGTCACTTTAAAGCATAACATCAACTTAAGATAACTTCTGAATGCATTCTAAAAGCAGATAAAAAAATACAAAGACTACAAACAGATAAAAAAAAACATACAGCCAAGTTAAACAGGTCAAAGAGGAGAGGGTATTCCCAGTGAGACTCAGCTGCATGTCAAACAGGAAGTTGATAGCTCAAAGCGAGAGAGACATCATCTACAAGAATGTTACTTTTTTCATTTAGTAAAAGTCAGCCACAGGCGACTGTGATGTCTCAACCAAATCATGCTACAAAACAGCTCTACCCACACACAAAACACCACACAAATATACAATCTATTGTTTATTGTATCTTACATACTGTATATTGCACGTTTATGTGGCTGGAGTTGTTGCACTGAACGTTTAGGGATCGATTGAACCTAATCTTTGTCCATCTTAAAGAGGAACCTCCTTCAAACTTGTAGCTGGGGGTTACTGAGAGCATTCGACAAAGAAAGCCCAGTTAAAGTTGAGCATTGCTGAGTGTGTGTAATGAGTTAATGAGTATGTTGCTTTAACCGACCCAAGTGGAAAGTCATGGGGCGATGTGCTTATGCAGCATTAGAGTCTGCAGGGAGATCAAATGCAAAGAGGATTCTTTATTAATCTGTGATGGGCTGTCACATGCTGACACTAGCTCATGTTCATTTCGTAATAAATGATAGTTGATATGGCAGCTTCTGTTACTGTATGTTCATTTGGAAGTGTCACTGTTCTAATTTGAATATCAAGCAAGCGGTTAGCGTATGAACAAAAGTGCTGTAGTGGAAAATATGTCACGTGTCAAAGAGTTTGATATGACTCTGGGTGTGCACCAAAGCAACAATGACAAGCTAAACTGAGAGAAAAATGTTTTTCAAAAGATTTTCACAAAACATAAATCTGCACAGAGAATTTTTCATAGCCACTACGGTCAAGTGTAGCCTTCTGAGATAAGATGAGATATCGGTGAAACTTGGACAGAAAAAAGAGAGTGTATGGGCAATGCTATCAAACGACGACGACGCTTTCATGCTTGTTCATTATATACTACTCGACCCTGCAAAAATAAATCATGCAATGTGAACCATACAAATAAAGCTTCCAAAAAAAAAAAAAAAGATATTCTCATCACTGTTAGGCTATTACAACAGGGAAATGTAAAGCCTGTTCTCTCATATAGTAAATTGTGCCAGTATTATTAAGAGAGAGAAACTCACATCCCTTAATGAAATATGACGCAAGAACAGGATAATTTAGTACAGTACAGTCTTGCGTTAAAAAAAAAGCTCTTTTAAAGTGTCCTATGTGACAAACAGTGGTAGTGGGGCAACGTAATCTGATGCTCACTGTTTCAACATGAACATTTTGTCTCACTGAGGAAGTAGAAAACAGGTTTCTCAAGTTCTATAATGCTGGTCACTGGTAAATTATCTAGCTCTTTATCTCTTGAAACAATATTTCCCTTTCAAAGGAAGCTATGCCCTGCACATGCCTTTGAGACAAACTCTTCTGAGTGTGGGAGCTGGTGGCTTATAACGAGGGGTGTCTAAATCTGAAATCCTGCAGGACGAGAACACTTGCATCTCAGCAGGCCAATAATGCTGGTGCACTAAGACACCTCAACAGAAGGTTTTCCATTCGAAGGCTCCCGGCCAGGTATATTACAGAGCGCCAATCACTTTGGATTTGCCTGAAATTCAAACTAAGGGTAATAAAAGAGGGAGAATGGAAAATGCCGGTCTCATTGGTCATAATGTCCCACCTCATAAAAGAGAGCCAGGCTGAACATGCAGATATGACTTCATTAGACTATACATTACCAAACTATCTATGAAAACAAGATTTGTGAGAAGTAATAATTTAGTCAGAATTATTTATAGCAAAACCTTTGAACAGAGCATTTCAAGTTTATTCTTAGTAAAAGTCCAAAACTTAGAGACACTGCAACATAATTCATGATTTCGGAGATCTCATCAGCAATGTGAGTTACTCCACTGTGGACCTAACCATGCATCTCATCCTCTCCCTCTATTTCTTATCATAATAAGGGAGACAAAAGCCACCTATTGTAAAGAATAACTTTCTTCCGCTGTAGGAAACGCGTGTTCTGCGTATGATCAACTCTAGCGCCTGTAAACACTTATAAACACTGCCAGGTAAATACATGATAGGTTACTCACCGTTAGGTCCATATTTTTCAAAATTATTTTTCACTTGTTCCAGCGTGAGTCCAGTGTTTTCGTTCACACCGAAGTTTGCTAAAACTTCTGATGTAGATTTAGTGTGGGCGTTTTCCATCTCGAGGAACTGTTTACTACGAGCACTTGAACGGCATGTATTTGTGACAAATGATACCGAGATTACGGACGGGCTGTGAGAAGTGGCTAAATTTCCACCGAGGTGCTTTCAGACCGCCAAGCGGAGGTGGTAGTCTGCGCAGACGTCCACCTGCCCCTTCTGCAAGCCGTCGGTTTGAGCCCGTGAAGCTGTTGTGACTGTGTGACTGTGTGAGTGAGCCCGAGAGATGTGAATGAGCGTGCTCGCGCTCCGCGTCCTCTGTCTGAAGGTGCGCGAGGTTCCCGCCTCTTTTTCCATGAGCTCGCGCTTGTTTGAGCAGTGAGCACCATTCGCGAACGCTTATTGGCTCGCGTTACCTGTGTGTGTGAGAAAAAGAAAAACCGCCGTAAACGAGAACTGCAACTGCGCCAAACTAATTTCCGTGTGAGAAGGAGAATAAAACGTTGTGCAGTTTGTCGTGGATGAAGGAAGCTATCATCACAGTGACTTTAAGTTCCTCCGAGCGCGTCATCTGTGGGCTTGTCAAACCGTCACAGCTCAAACTTGTGTCAATATTGCCTCTGAGTAATGTGACTTATCTAGAATATTAACCATTAACTTGCTGTTATTGTATGAAATAAAAGTATCTGCATTGCAGTAATTAAACCTTGACATCTACAAATTGCGTTTACCTTTTGCTTATTAAATGCATAGAGCAACGTTACACTGTTATGTGAGGAATAGCTGGATCGAAACTTAGGTGTAAGCATTGAGAACTGTCTTAATAGGAAAACACTATTATCGCTGTCGGTACAGATTAAGGGGAGATGGATTTAGAACAAGGTGCTCCAGTTCTTTCCTGGCGAAGTTTCTCATCTGTCCCTGTGCAATGTCTATATATAGAAAATATACACTACTAAACTCATGTTAAAACAAGAAACTTTATAGGTTACATCATCCTTGCCTGCAGAAGTGATAGGAGATCTTTGGTGTAAATGAGGTAATAATAGTTAGGTCAAAGCTGGCATCACAAATGAGACTGGCAGCCCATCTGGCTTGGCTTTTCACCTCTCAGACTGTTTTCACATTGGTTTGATTGCTTGGTCTAAATCTGAGTTCATTCCACTAACCTCCCCTCGCTGGTCTCTTTTCATTCACCCCCACCCCAAAGCCAGTTTCATTGGGAAACTTAATCATGCTGTCGTCTAGAAAATTCCACCCTGCGTTGATTCAGTTCTGAGTTTAGAAATACAGTATGGATAGTGACAGGAAGTAATGCAATTTATGAGGAAGTACTACCAATGCCATAAAGTTGGGATTAGGATAGTGGTTCTCAAACTTTTTGTCTTCAAGGCCACAACAACAAAATTTACAAATTTACAGTTAAAAAAAGTTCTAAATGAATTTTTACTGAAATTAGGGGTGTTCGTAGATTAAATAAGTAACTAAAGTAATTATATTTAAAAGAATTAAAATCCAGAAGATTAAAGGTGAATTAAAATAAGAATTATTGATGTTTAGTTGTTTTAGATTACTTCAAAGCTTGTTTTGTCTTATTTTTAAACATATTAATTAATGTTGAGAGTCCCCCTCAAAAGTTTGCTGAAGACCCCTATAGTGGGCTCTGACCCCCACGTTGACAACTAATGGGTTAGGGATTCGTATTTTTTAGCTTTGTGTAGGCAATCAGCACATTAAAGTATGATGGGAAAGTCTTTTTGAAACTTTGATTCAATTTTTTCACAAAATGTGTCAAAGCTCTCCAAAACATTGCACACTGAGCACACCTGCTGGTTAAAGGCATGCAAAATTAAATGTAATGTTATTTCAATGTAATTTCCTGTAAATACATAAGTAATCCCAAAATACTTTTGAGAAGTACCGGTACACAAGAAAAATAGAGGGTACGCTACGGATTAAAATATAGACGTGCACTGGTCCTATACAGATGTTCATAGTTATGCTACCACAGAGTAATACTGTCTTAACAAACCTTCTCAGAGAGTACTACTGACGATACCCTACTTTAAATCCACTGCCACTAGAACACAATGTGCTTTTGAGGACTATATTTATCTCAAAATGGCCCAGGTCTCTTTCCACCTATCCAGGTCATAATCAGCTTCCACTAAAGTACAGGAGCTCTGTTTAGACACAAGCTTTGTGTGCTGATCTGGGTCCAGCTGTCAACATTGAAAACATCATGTTTTATCATTATGTTCAGATCAGAAGCAAAGGACAAAAGCCCTTTACTCAACTTCTGGTTTTTCATAAACTTAACTTGAAAAGAGCCTACTTTAGTCATCATTGTCGTACCAGTTTTCAGACCACTTTCTGCATTTGATCAATTCAGATATTGACTCCCTTCTTGACTCCACATAGAGTTGGATAGATAGATATTTTCTTGGGTAGAGGCTGCTTGAGGCAGCATGCTAATACAAATTGATGGACAGGATTGCCTTGTTGGAATGTTAATACATAATTCACATCAGTTGCCACTTCCCATTTCCAATACATGCAGGTTTAGCATCAGGGTGGGATGTGTCTCTTTCAGGCTTCTGTATTAAATGACTTAGCATGAAGCTGCAGAAATCTCATTCTGTTGACAGTTGCAATAGGACAGTGCTCTCCTTTGTCAATTCTTAAAATGTAACCTTTGTGATGAAGAAAGCTCTCATAAACATTGATAGCAAACGTAAGGTTTGATGTGTGCAGTTTATTTGACCACGCGATTTCACCATGGACATTCACATAAAATCAGTGTGACCATTATATATTTGTCATCAAACTTAATCTACCCTCCCCCTAAATGAGAAAAAAAGAAGGGAAATCCTTGAATGCCAAAGTCCTTACGGAAAGGAAATCCTTCCCCCTTTTCCCTTACTATTTTACCACACTGGCGTACAATGGATGTCTGTGCGAGTTACAGTTTCAGACACCGAATTTTCCACTCGGGTTTGTGAGCCTCCCAGCAGCAGTTGCCTTCAAGCCTGGCTGGTCTCACCTTCACTTTGCATTATGGAAATCAGTTAATAAATACGCTTAATTTTTTTTTTTTTTTTTTTGTATACCATATATACATACATTGTTTCTATAAAAAATGATCTTCTCTCTCTCTCTCTCTCCATTCTGCTCCTTTTTTCCTGTGTAAAGATATGAATCCACGAATCCACCAGTATGCCATTGCCATCAATATTAAAGATATATAATAAAGGCAAATTATTGTTATAAAATCAAAGAAACAGTAGGCCTAAGTAATAAGTGACATCATTTTAAGTCTCAGCATTTTGCGGGCGCTGTAATATCTGCTACAGGCACAGTATATGCGGTACCTTCATTGACTTTGACTCAAGGAGATCTGGAGTGAGACTAACTCCCAGACTGCAGCAGCTGCACCTGACAGAGAGAAAGAATGAGAGAGAGAGAGAGAGAGAGAGAGAGAGAGAGAGAGACTGTGCCTGTGCTAGCATCCCCTACACTCCGTACACTCCGTCCCAACCAAATACAACACACTTCATCATCCTTTCTCTCTTCCTGTTACACACACAGACTCCAAGCACATTACATCTGTGACGCAGTAGTCATTTCACAGTACCAGGGGATGCCAATGCGCCGTCTGCTAGTCTGCCTGACGGGAATAAAAGATGAGGGGGGGAGGTTTGTCTGAATTGCAGAGTTACAATTAAGTGTAATCCAATCATATTTAAAATTTTAGCCAATCAGAGCTCAAAACCAAGGAATGTTTTTGAGTAACACAATGAAGTAATGAGAATCTAGAGAGAAGAATTAATTTCTTCTTCAATTATTTTAACATTGCCTGATGAAAAACTGTATTTTATCAGGAATTTTGAAATGTGGCTCTTGTGCAAATATCTTTCTTATTACTTGCACAAAAGAATCACACAATCAGTGCTTTGCCAATCTTCATATCAGTCATCGCCTAATGGAATCAAACAGCCTGTAATGAACCAATTACTATGCAGTGAAAGTTGTTGACTGTTAAAATGCCAGTCAGCCATTGGCCTATTCAAGTGATATCAATAAACATAAATTTTGCTCTCATTTCATTATGGTAATATTATTCATTTCAGTCCATTGCAAGTGACATTATTTCCCAGAAGCTACTGGTTTCTGGAGGTAGAGGAAGTAAAGAACGTTTACAAACAAATATGAATAAACATTTTATGCCCCAAATATGTAGCTTCCAAATGTGACAGTGATTTCATGTCATCACCCCCATGTCATCCAATATATGTCTTTCTTTCTTCAGTCGAAAAGAAATTAAGGTTTTTGATGAAAACATTCCAGCATTTTCTCCATATAATGGACTTCAATGGGAACCAAACAGTTCCAGGTACAAATGAGAGTTTCAGTGCAGCTTCAAAGGGCTGAAAAGTCAAAATTATGACGTCAATTAAAACAATTCTGACAAAAAATGAGATTCGTTCAAAAAGTCAAAATACGATTCCAGATGATGAATAAGGGTCTTATCTAGCGAAACGATCCCTCATTTTAAAAATAAATTAAAAAAAATACGTTTTATAAGCACAAATGCTCGCCTTGCTCTCTTCTGTGATGAGCGTTCGTGACTCTCCTGTTCGAACTCGTTCATCAAAATGAACAAATATTTTTTTCGAGTCATGACTCGAAGGGTCCTAGATAAGACCCTTATTCATCGTCTGGTGTTGTTTAAAGCCCTTTGAAGCTGCACTGAAACTCTCATTTGGACCTTGAACCATTTGGTTCCCATTAAAGTCCATTATATGGAGAAAATCCTGGAATGTTTTCATCAAAAACCTTCATTTCTTTTCAACTGAAGAAAGAAGGACATGGACATCTTGGATGACATGGGGGTGAGTAAATTATCAGCAAAAGTTTTTTTTTTTTAAAGTGAACTACTCCTTTAAGCTGCTGTGCATTGAAAAAAATAAACGAACCGAGAGAGAGAATAGACAGTCAGACTCAGTAAAAGTAAGAGAGAGAAAACCAAATTGTATCACATAGATGGAGTGGGAAAAGGGCTCAGGAAAAAATACAAGAGTTCAGCCAGGCAAAATGAGGGATGCAAAAAGAATGTGTGAATGAAAAGTGCAGAGAGAGAGAGAGAGAGAGAGAGAGATTGAACTGGAGCTGGTGTCATTGATAACTCGGCTCCTACTGACAGAACAGCCCGGTGGTAAAGAAAAGGCTTAGGTGGTTATCGATTTTGAGAGCAGGCTGGTCTTAATTTACAAAACCAAAGCTGCTTAAGCTGGCCAGTGTTTTTTTGTTCTTTTTTTTTTTTTTTTTTTTTTTTGGTGTGAACAAAGGCACACTGCACTACCGAATAAATGCGGAAGAAGAAAGGCAAAGAAGGTCTTTCAGAAACAGGCCGAGAGACCGATAAAAAGAGCAATGAAATGCAGCACACTCACTGGGCAACTAAAATAAATGCAACTGAAACATGAATTCATTCTGAATGAATCCTGATCACTTCAGAATTAAATGTACA